GGGGGGGGGGGGGGGGGGGTTGACACCCCCAATATTTAAACATTTGGTCCTGATGGTTATTATGAATTCGGTCCTATGAAACCAAATCCAGAGCCCATTTTATGCTCGGTCCAAAGGGAGGGAGCTGGATTTGGTTTCATAGGACCGACTTCATAATAACCATCAGGACCAAATGTTTAAATATTGGGGGTGTCACCCCCCCCCCTCCCACACACACCCTCATTGGCACCCCTGATGATCATTTGTGTCGCATTTGTGGGTGAAAAGTTAGGCCACCAATTTACTCGGAGGCTTGTTTCGATATATATGATGTTGGTAGCCTCACAGAAAAATGATTATCGCCTTAAAGAAACCATACATCCAATCTATGAAAGGCTGAAATGAAATATTGTATAATACACATATTACTAGAAAATACATGCATGCAGAAACCCTCGCCTTGCTGACAAAATAATTGCATTTTTCGAACATGAAGTATTAAAAGTAGTTGTCATGGTAACACAATAATTGTTTAATTAAGAATATTTTACAAATGAAAAATCCCCTAAAATAACGTTAACACTTTTAATTACAAAATTATCAATTTCCCAAACGTATATTTTTCGGTGGTAAATAGCCGGGCGGAATTAGTACCCTCGCACGACCACAGAGAGTAAATAACACTAGAGGGGACATTGCAATCTTGACATCAGGCAAAAGAAGGAATGCGGTTATTGGGGGAAAATTCAAGTCCCGGATGTGTACTCATGTTACGTTCCCAATGGTGAGGAGTTTCAATTTAGCCAATGAGAGCATGATTTAATATCCGGGACCTAAATTTGCCCCCCGTTAGCCGCGTTCCCAAATTTTTAACCCCGATTCCCAGTGGTGTCAAGTAACGAAGTAAATGTACTTCGTTACTGTACTTGAGTGCAGTTTTTGAGTCAGCTTGTAACAAAGTAAAATTTTTCTGGAGTATTCTTATTTGGAACGAAGTCATTTTAAGAAGTAACGTTTTACTAAATAAGAAAAACATAATTCCAACATATATATCTATCTTCCCAAGTCGTCGCAGAGGAGTACTCTCAGTTCACTAGTGCAAAAAGAGAACTTTTGGCCTAAATATGTTACCTGTTATCCAGTCAGAATTTCTTATTGTAACCGTCGTCACAGACCTAAGCAAAATATTCGGAACGCATCTAACTTAATACGAGTAAGACGGTGTAACCCTGTTGAAACGAACAAAGTTACGAAACCCATGCTCCCAAAATTGGCTTTAATAAACGCACGTTCCCTTTTACCAAAGGTTGATGAACCTATCGCAAATCTATCCGTGAATACAGTAAATTTGGTGGTAGTGACGGAAACATGGTTGAACGACGATATAGAAGATAACGTTGTTTCAATTAGGGGTTATAACATTTTCCGAAGGGATCGCCTTTATCGACGTGGAGGTGGGGTTTGTGTCTATCTCGCTGAGCATATCCATGCTAAGCGTCGAACTGACCTTGAAAGCGACAATTTTGAGTGTTTGTGGCTTTGGCTACGCCCCACTCACCTACCTAGATCCCTCTCAGGCATTGCAGTCTGTGTCGTCTACCACCCACCTGGGTCGCCTGAACATGAACATTACTTCCTAAATGAATATTTAACCAATAGCGCGGATATTCTATGCAGCCAATATCCCAATTGTGATCTTGTTTTCCCAGGCAATTTTAACGATTTCCGAACAGCGAACCTTTTATGAAGACATAACTTAAAGCAATTGTTCCAGATTCTCACGAGAGGCTCGGCTATTCTAGATCTCCTGATTACCAACCTATCAAACCTTTATGAAGCCCACCAAGTTCTAGCCCCACTTGGATCCTCAGATCACAATATTGTCACATGGTCTCCTGACTTAACGAAGTCAAAACCAAGTTTACACACCAAGTCTATTAAACGTCTGGTACGTCGATACCCTCGATCTTGTATTGACGCTTTTGGGAGATGGGCTACAAGCCACGATTGGTTCAGTGAACTTGGGCCTACAGCCACAGTTGATGATCTAAAAACATCTTTTACATCACAATTTGTGCAAGCAATTGACCGTATATTTCCTCCTATGTTGGTAAAATTCCACCATTCCGATAAACCTTGGGTAACACCAGCCATTAAAACCCTCATAAGAGATCATCAGAAAGCATTCCATAGCAGGAACAATCCCCTTTGGCTCTCACTAAGACGTAAGGTCCAATACGAAATAAGGGAAAGAACAAAGTCTTTTTATAAGAACAAAGACCAGCACCTAAGAAACACTGGCAGTCGTAAATGGTGGAAAATAGTCAACAAAATGTCCGGTAAACCTGAGAAAACAAAATTTTTTTCTTTAGAACGTAACGGGGAAACTCTGAACGACGAACAACTAGCAAGTGCCCTTAATGAATTTTACGTCTCTGTCAACGCGGATATTCCGACATTTGATGTAAATTTACTGCCCGCATTCTTACCGGCTAACGACGCCTTTTTATCCGTTCAACCTTACGAAGTCTGTCAAAAACTATTGGCTCTTCAACCTTATAAAGCAACAGGACCTGATAATGTACCAAGTCGATTTCTAAAAGATTTTGCTCACGTGCTAGCCGATCCAGTTGCCACGACTTTAATGCATTCCTTTCCTCTAGCGTCGTCCCGAGAATTTGGAAAGAATCCAAAATTATTCCAATCCCGAACGTACAACAACCCGAATGTGAAGGAGATACTAGACCAATATCGTTGACCTCTTGCCTCTCCAAACTGCTGGAAGACTTTGTTGTAAGTTGGCTAATTGACGACGTCAAGGGAAAGATTGACCCCTGCCAATTTGACTGTTTGAAAGGAACGTCGACCACCTATTGCCTCCTTGATATGCTCCACTCTTGGCTCTCCCATTTGGACTCGGACTCCAACGGTAAACACATTCGTATTAGCTTCTTAGATTTCTCGATGGGCTTCGACCGCATTGGATACAATATTCTCATTGAAAACTGCTAGACCTGGGCGTTAGGCGGTCTTTAATGCCCTGGATTATAAACTTTCATTGTGGTCAAAGACAACGAGTTAAAATTGGAGAATCCTTTTCAAGCTGGCTCCCAGTGACAGCCGGGGTCCCTCAAGGGACTAAACTTGGTCCAACATTGTTCCTCATTATGATTAATGACAGAGGAGGAATGAGGACTATACCGGCATGCAACGCGGTCAGGCGCGGTTTATTACATATTATTGATTTCTCGCTCTGCGCCGTCATTGTTCGGTCGGCTTTCGTTGTGTTTACACATCGAGGTTTCGAGAGATTCAGAAAAGATTTTATAGAAAAAAAATTGTAAAATGGTGAATTTTTGCACTATTTGTGGAAAGAAAGCTTCGTTTTTGGGTGGACACGAGCTTCTGTTTGTTCACTATGTGTCAAAACAGCCTTTAATCTTGATTCCAGAGGGACTACCGTGTGATGAACTTGAATGCCGTGAGGTTCATGTTTATAGTTTTACGGATAGTTTGAAGAATAGTCCTAAGTCCTTTGTCCAGCTGTGGTTAACGGGATAAAAAATGATGAAATTGTTTGCTGATTGCGGTAGTCCTGCACTGGTACAAATTCACTCTAGTTGTGTTTTTAAGGTATTGATTATTTTATATATAAAATAGAAATATAAAAATCCTGTCATACTGTATTATACCTAAATTTAATATATAAAATACAGTCATCTACGATGTGATTGATATATTTTGCTTAAAATTGTTGTAATTCAGCTGTATTAAACGTATTTTTATTTCATATCATGTAGTTCTTCGACCCTAATGATCCACGGGAAGGAGGTAACAAAGTATATAACAATGTTGTGGGGAGTTTGATATTTCAACATCACCAACATCCCAAGCAATCCCACCATGTGACCCAGATAGTCAAGATGATGAGCTACCCAACTGATTGTACTTGTTTTAATTTACCAATAAATCCTGTTTGGACACACCGAATAATGGAAGAAGCGCCCACGCCGCCCAGTGGTAGCAGTGTTGATTATGAACTTGAAGGAGGGGCAGTGAATGTAGAGAATGAAATGGATGAAATTCAGCATTTATATTGACTACTGTGTAATGCATTGCATTTTACTCTGCCTAACGCCAGATTATTTTACTCTGTCTAACACTAGATGATTTACTCATCAGGGGGAGAGTGCTGCCACATCAATGGGTTAAAAAAACATTCAAATAAAATGTTTGGCAGAAGCTGCAAAATTGTATATTGGTGTCTGGTGTGATACTGACATTTCTTTTATTTGTAAGGATAGAGCTGGGGAGCTTCTAGTGTTACAGTCTTGGCCCCACCCCAGTTTTCCTGTACTGCATGTGTTTTCCTCACTTCCCTGATCGTAGTATAAGTGTTAATTGGTATACCATGGACACCATCTTATCAGTTCTGCAGTTTTTTGACAATCTATGTATGGTTTTCATGATTTTCAGTGTATAGTCTTCCCCAACCTTGTACCTAGGGTTCTCTTTGTACAAAGAGAACCCTGGGTAATGAGGTTGAGTCTTCCCTTGCTCATCACAAATTAATAAAAAGATCACACACTACATAATTGATGTTTATAAAATTTATTTATTTTAATTAAAATCGAAAAGATATTAACATAATATTAATACTGTACTTAAAGATAATTAAAATGTTTTTAAGTTAAAAAAAATTTATGTGCACAAATAAAGAGAAGTTTTTTAAAATGTCGCATTACATTCATTTCACCATTACACATGAATATTATATGATTAAGTATTGTATTGGTATTTCAAAATCTTTACAGAGGGTAAACATTTCAGTAATCTACTGTTATCAATATGTGTCCTATCAGTAATCTACTGCTATCAATATTGTTCTATTAATATGAAAGGTGATGCTTTTGCTCTAGCTTAATGATAAAACAATCTAGAGGTATTACATAATTGGTAAACCTCTTCAATTGCAATCATTGCATGATTATCTGCAACAGATGTGAATTCAATAAATGCTTTATCTTCCTCAAATGTCCATTTATGAAGTTTTACTGGGAATTTCTTTGGTGGAGTCGGTTTAATCTTTCTGATAGGAAACTACAAAACAAACAGCAAAAGAGGCAATGTCAGTACCAGCTCCATTAGACGACAACAAAGAAACTCATGGATTTTTACCATGATTGTGGGCATGCTTCTCCAGGAAATTTGTGCACTATAGGTTTTCTGAAATGCCACTCCCAGCATTGAAAAATATCATTGGCGTGCGAGTGGACAGAAATTGCCCGACATTGTCATGAGTTTATTGATAGATGAACAAGAGGTATAAAATAGAAGGAACATAACTCCTATGGATACTTGCAGAAATACTGTTTAAAGTCAATCTTAAAACAATTGCCCAATTTTTAAAGCTGCCCAACTAAACACTGACTTGAGGGTTGCAACCCCAAGCCTTGTACAACTATGGACAGAAATTCTCACAGGCCAAAAAGCATTAAAATACAATGTTACTGTTACAATGCACCCCCCCCCCCCTTTAACATCTCACTGTCTCATTTATAACCCATTGAGTGGCAGCACTCTCCACGTGAGGAGTAAAATCGTCTGGTGTTACACAGAGTAAAATACTAAAGTATGGTGCATCAGGGCACATTGCCACTTAAAGGGTTTAAAAAATACAATGTTTTTGTACATTCGTACTGTATTTTATGTTTGTAAAAACCTTTGTACTTTTATACCTTTGGTGATGTTCCAGGACTCTGAAACAAAGTTTGACTTGATGTGTCTCTGACTCTTATTAAGTTTCTCTGGAGTATCACCTTTAGAAGTATATACTCCAAAATAGCCGAATTCTATAATAAAATGAAAAAATACAGTCAGTGCAGCATAAGCACATCTAATCTTAAAAGTTACATTAAACTTAAAATATGGAGGAACATAATTATATGTGTATGTTTCAAAATTATCATGGAAATTGGCGGAAAATAGCTAGGAAAATATCGATTTGTACAATAGTTTCCTTCGCGCCATGATGATTATCACGCGATCTATTCCCGCCATCGGCGATAGAATATAGCAAAAGTACCCCATTTTCAAACCGCGATTACTAGTCAATTTCGTCGAGCTACTTTAAGTTTTAAAGTACTAATTGAAAGAACAAACTTTCCTTAATTCGATGGCGTGTTTTATTTTAATTTTCCCTCAAAAAAATGAATATAGCTTCTGCATTTTTTGAAAGCTACTTTTGTGGCGTGTCCACTGACCCGAATCAAGCATAATTACAAGGCGTAATTAACATAACTAAAAAACAATTCCTGTACCAAACAAGTCAAAAATAGTTTAATTAGGTTCTTAAATAATACAAATATAAAAACATACCTTTGAAAAAACGAGATATACGGAGCCAAAATCGCAATGTATTTCAACAACTTTTCGACAAACGTTCGTTGAAAATCGTAATTATGAATAATAATGAGATGCAATGCATTGTGGGAAGACCCTCATTCCTCCTCTGGAGCCAACCATACTGTTCAATATTACTTCAAACGTTTAACCGTATCCTGACATACTAAAACAACGGCAAAAATACAATTATCCAAACGCGGTGTATAAACAAAGCGTTCGTCCCCTCGATCATAAACTGTTCACGACGCTCGCTTTCTTCGAT